TTGGCTTTTTTGAGTTTGGGCAAGGGCACATGGGCCCCATGATCCCCTATTGCCCGGGGGGGCCCCATGAGTTGTCAGGCGGGCCCGACAGTTTATATATAGCAGAAGGTCAGGAGGTGGTTAAATATATGTTCAAGCCTACTTTTGAATTATTTAACGCAGTATTAAATCCAAAAATGTATTATATCACAGCTTACCAATCATTAGATGTAGTGGCTGCATCGGTTTTCTTTTCTTTTGGCCTTTTTCCCTCTGTTTTCACCTGGTGATCTGGCCAGTAACACACATCCTGTATTAGTGAGCCACCACTCTGGAGAAATGAGTACAGGACACAGTAGACAGCAGCATTGTCAGTCGGGGGGGAAGGAGAAGTGTTAAATGTATTAGCACATTTCAATACAGTAACAAATTGAAGCCAAATTCACACTTAATAAGTTACAGCAGCCCTTTGGAGGACCAGAGCGATGTCACTTCCAGGTTCCAGCCATTTTGTTTTTTGTTTTTTTTTTTTTTTTTTTTTAAAGCACTAAATCAATGCTTTTTTTTTTTTTTTGCTTTTTTTTTTTTTTATCTAATGCTTTACATTGCAGAGGAGAGATGTGGGGTCTTATTGACCCCATATCTCTCCATAAAGAGGACCTGTCACTAATTATTTCTATCACAAGGGATGCATGCATTTCTTGTAATAAGAATAAAAGTGATTACAATTTTTTTAAAAGGAACAGTGCAAAAAAAAAAATTAAATTAAGTTTTTTTTAAAAGTTTAAAGTGCCCCCGTCCCCCTGAGCTCGCACATAGTGGTGAACGCATACATAGGCAATGCCCACATATGTAAATGGTGTTCAAACCACATATAGAAGGTGGTATCGCCAGGAATGTCGGAGCAAGAGCAATAATTCTCGTACTAGACCTCCTCTGTAACTTTACGCTGCTAACCTGTAGAAATTTTTTAAAGCATCACCCATGGAAATTTTTAATTACCGCAGTTTCACGCCATTCCATGAGCGTGCGCAATTTTAAAGCGTGAAATGTTGGGTATCAATTTACTCGCCGTAACATCGTCTTACATATTTTACAAAACAATTTTATATATATATTTTTTTGTTAATCAAAGTGTATTTTTTTCCAAAAAATATATATTCATTTTTAAAAACTGCGTATTTCAGTTTTTTTTTCAAGTGCATTTTGAATTTTCGGTTTAAGCAACCGAATTTTCATTTCGGTGCACCACTAATATCAACCAATGTTATCTTCCCTTTTGAAAATGACAAACCACCCCCATGTGGAATAAGCACTCATCATGTGTTGGTAACGCACATGGCTCCTCCAAATATACAATGGAATAAGTTAGCATAGCCACCAGGGTCAGAAATTGCTATTCCAAGGATTACTAGGTGATAAAAAAAAAGGAGAAAGGACTGAAGATAGAGAACAAATGCAAGCCACCACATATAATGAATTGTAAGCTGCAATCTATTTTTTGTTTTTGGATTTAGATAACGCCAGTTAAAAATATTATGTGTTATCAGTTCAATCGCAGTAACAGAGATAATTCTTTAACTGTTAGAGAAATACTTTTTTAACCTCATCTTCAGATTCAAAATCATTAGGGAAAAGTATGTTCTAGTGCTTTTGTAAAAGTTCTGCAGTTGCCATGGAAAAGCTGCAAATTACAGCTATTCTAAAAAGCAAGAATGATTACTGATCACAGAACGATGCTTCTCTCCAAGTGCTGATGTACACTCACTGGCCACTTTATTAGGTACACCTTGCTAGTAACGGGTTGGACCCCCCTTTTGCCTTCAGAACTGCCTTAATTCTTCGTGGCATAGATTCAACAAGGTGTTGAAAACATTCCTCCAGAGATTTTGGTTCATATTGACACGATGGCATCACATAGTTGCTGCAGATTTGTCTGCTGCACATCCATGATGCGAATCTCCCGTTCCACCTCATTTATTTTTATTGATTTTATTCTAGGTACTTATTTTGTGCCGTCAATATTACACAGTGCTTTACATATATATTGCATTCACATCAGCCACAGTCCTCGAGGAGTTTACAATCGAAGGTCCCAAAGGTGCTCTATTGGATTGAGATCTGGTGACTGTGGAGGCCACTGGAGTACAGTGAACTCCTTGTCATGTTCAGAAAACCAATTTGAGATTATTAGAGCTTTGTGACATGGTGTATTATCCTGCTGTAAGTAGCCATCAGAAGATGGGTACACTGTATTCATAAAGGGATGGACATGCTCAGCAACAATACTTAAGTAGGCTGCGGTGTTTAAACAATGCTCAGTTGGTACCAACGGCGCAAAGTGTGCAAAAAAAATATCCCCCACACCATTACACTACTAGCCTGAACTGTTGATACAAGGCAGAATGGATCCATGCTTTCATGTTGTTTGACAAATTCTGACCCTGCCATCTGAATGTGGCAGCTGAATACAGCACTCCTCAGACCAGGCAATGTCCAATGTCCAGTTCTGGTGAGCCTGTGTGAATTGTAGCCTCTGTTTCCTGTTCTTATCTGACAGCAGTGGTATTGTGGATTCAGAGATGGTATTCTGAATATTTTTTTTGTAACGAGTGGTTATCTGAGTTACTGTTGCCTTTCTATCATCTCAAACCAGTCTGTCCATTCTCCTCTGACCTCAACAAGACATTTTTGTCCACACAAATACCGCTTACAGGATATTTTCTCTTTTTCGTACCATTCTCTGTAAACCCTAGAGATGGTTGTGCTTGAAAATCCCAGTAGATCAGCAGTTTTTGAAATACTCAGACCTGCCTGTCTGGCACCAACAACTATGCCAAATTCAAAGTCACTTAAATCCCCTTTTTTCCCGATTCTGATGCTCAGTTTGAGCTTCAGCAAGTTGTCTTCACCACGTCTACATGCCTAAATGGATTGAGTTGCTGCCTTGTAATTGGCTGATTAGCAGTTTGTGTTACCAAGAAAGTGAACAGGTGTATCTAATAAAAGAGGCCAGTCAGTGTAAATTTACTACCGTGTTTCCCCGAAAATAAGACAGTCTTATATTAATTTTAGTTGAAAAAAATGCACTGGGGCTTATTTTCAGGTAGGTCTTATTTTTATTGACGTTTCCACCAGCTCCACAAAAAGGTAAGTTTTTTTTTTTTTTTTTTTAAAGCAAGCCCCCCCACCTCTGCCTTCTCTCTCTCTGCCCTTTTTCTCCCCCCCCCCCTCTCTCTCTGCCTTCTCTCTCTCTGCCCTCTTTCTCCCCCCCCCCCCTCGCTCTCCTCCCTACCTACTACATGAAGCTGCAGTGCTGTCACCAGGGTCAGGGGATTACATACTTACCTGCTGCATACTCTGCCTGCCCCTCCAGCACTCCGACTTCAGCACCCGTGGCAGGGATGTGGACCCGCCCCTCTGCTGAAACTCCGAGGAGGAGAGGTGTCCGAATTGCCTGCCTCACTGGCCGTCCCCTCAATGTCTGCTTATTTCAGAAGCGGCACATACAGGGACGGACTGAGCCTCTCATGGGGCCCTGCAGTGACCCCAGGTCCTCGGACAGTGCCCGAATGGTCAGTCCGCCCCTGGTGGAGGTAGGTCTTATTTTCGGGGGAGGGCTTATATTAGCGGTACGTCAAAAAGTACTGCTAGGTCTTACTTTTGGGGGAAACACTGTAGCAAGCAAGTGTACCCATTCCACATGGAGCAGAAATGTAGGCCTGTACAATGGCTGATTGATTGGTTAGCATGATGGCTTTGCAGTCCTGGAACCTTGGTTCAATTTGCAGCAGGAAGAAAAGTAGGTCTAGAGCACTTTATCATAGTAAACCCTCAGCTAGGTGTCTGTAAAGCAGTGGAACTCTAGTGGGGTGTAGATTTAAAACCTACTAGATACAAGGATGATGTGGTGAATTGTAAGGTGTGTGTGTTGTTTTCTTGTACTATTTTGTGTTCCATTTTAGATAGAACAGTAGTTAAATTAGCTTTAATAAATGTGTTGTAGTGATTTAAAAATGCAGCAAATGTGTATCAGATGCTCAATATGTACATTATGCAATAACTTTCTTTACACTGAAATTTTAGGAAAACTACTTTTAACAAGTGCTTTCCTTCTCCTTAATACTATCTGCTTACCTGGTTAGGGGATTGTCCAGCCCTTCTATTTCTGCATGTTTACTTAGACTATACCTAGTAAAATAGGAGAGGTTTTCAGTGATGCTTCACTTTTTAAGGGGACAGGAGACTTGATTGTTTTATTAGGCAATGCAATAGGCTTGACTTAACATATGATAATCTCGTGCTTCTAGACCAGCAATCCTCTTGGGTAACTTACAAAATGCAGGAAGATGGGACACTTTATACTTTTCAAATACAGATGGCTGTGTCAACAGACTACCACAGTAGTTAATCGTCCCACTCCACAGCATTTCATGTCACTTAAACGTGCCCCCCCCCCCCCCCCCCCCCCCCCCCCATTTTCAAGGAATGTTGCTATAGTAGGCCTTTGTAGATGGGGCAGGTGCTGGAGCTTCAGCTGGTTGGAGGAAGGGGAGAGCAGCTGGATGTGTATGGCTTTTGAGCTACGTTAAAGTTTGTCAAGCTGTAAGTGGTTGTATTCCTTGTGGCAGAATTGCCAACGACATGCAAGAGCAATACTAAACCATCAGGTGGACTATACAATAACGTTGACAGACAATACAATAGGATATGTTCAATTATATTAAGTGGTCAATAAAAAGCTTTGTGTGCTTGCTGAAACCCTTCCTATGAGTTAGCAGCTGTTGTTACTATTCCTGTTTTTATAAGCTATTTTACAGTAGAAGATCTACTGTCAAGTACATTTGGTAATGTGTTTTGTACGTTTTCTATGCTTTTTTCACTTTGGGCGCACAGTATGTAATTACCGGATATTAAATGCATTATCAGAGAATCTCTCCAGCATACACAGTATATTTCATTGTTGTTTTCATTGTTTTCTTGATTTTTATGCTTGCTTATCTTACTGTTTTTTGCTGTAGCTATGTTTTGTATTGGAAGAAAAGATTTTCAGAGCAGCCAATAACAGAATTCTGCTCCGTAATCAAGACTAATTCAGAAGCTCCAGAAGGTAAGTCTCATGAAAAAGGAATGCATAAATTCACACTCTTTTGTCCAAGGAGCTATGGAACTGTCCATTATTAATGTCAACAGTCGTATGCTATTTTCAATACATACCCTTGGAGTAATTTGATACCCATTTCCCCTTTTTATATTCCTGGCTTTAAAAGTTTTTTAAACACTTAAACTTCTTGAAGAATTATGTTTAGAATAGACAATGTATATGGTATATATGTAAAAAAAAATTCCTATTTAACATTTAGGTGCAGAAGTTTTCCAGGATGCTGGGTAATTACTGTGACTGACTAAAAACATGCTTCCTCAAGTCCTCTTCCAGGACAGCATATGAGAGATGGTTCTGCCCACTTGCAAACAGGAAACTCCCCACCCACCATTATATAAAAAAAGAACAATTCACCCTAGTGCATCTGGTTTTTGTGTTTCTTCCAGCCACACAGAAGCATCACTAGTTTTTTTATCTATGTTCTTAGGCCTTTGTGCTAGTTGCAGGTGCCTCCTGGCATATGATCCCCTTTGATTCTAGGGACATTGGACTTGGAGGGATTACATATCTGGATTTTATCCAGGCTACTTTTGTTGGTATCCTAGTTGTAGTACCTTCTTCTCCATCACCTTTTTGGTGTGTTCCCCAAGGTTCCTTCTATGCCAGAGGAGAATCAACTATCATGGTGGGCACAAAGACTCTAGTGTAGCCCTCACACATGGGGTCAATTTCTGAATCCTCCCCTGTGTTGCCTCAGGCAGAATGCAGCCTGCTTTGCTGCAGGTCCCCCTGAATGCACAGTAATATTGTGGGTGTGTGGGTATACCCTGGTTCCAGCATCTACAGACACCAGGACTGGAGGATGGAACAGTAGGTGGACCTTGATCTTTCCATGCTACACCATGCAGTCTGATTCCGCCATAACAGCTGCTAAGAATCTGTCAGAGTGCTCCAACGGTAGGTTAGTTTGAGTTTTTTTCTTATAGCTGTCCTTCCTACTATAACCATACTGTGGAGAGGCACAGTGTGGTGTACCATTGGGAGGAGGGGCTCTCTTTTGGGTATTGGTTGCTATGGGTGTTTGCATTCCTCTTACAAGCCCAGGGTAAATGTGATTTGTGTTCCTGTCCACTATTAATGTGGCCAATTGGAGGCAGAGGCTGCAGACCTTAAGCCTCACGTGGCAGAGTAGCTGAAAGATATGCAGAAGCCCAACTTGCTAACTCCTTCCTACACTAATGTTACACTTCTACAGGTGCAAGGCCACTGGGGTTTGCTTACTCAATTTTTATCATTGATTACATTTTTTTTTTTTTTTTTTTTTTGCAGCGAGGGGGGGAGGGGGGGTCTGCTGGGGTTTAATTCAAGTTTGCTATGATTGATTTTGGTCAATAGCCTTAATAAGGGTGTTTGTTTTTTTTTTTTTTGTAAGAACATACTCATGGTTAAGCTATCATGGAATCCTACTGTACGGTTTTTCTGGGTCTCATTCGTTCCCCCTAAGTCAGGGCTTAGGAATTGGTGATTCCTTCACTATTTTCAAACCCATCAAAGGATAGAAGGCAATGTCTACATGCTTGTTGTAGCTGATTGACCTCCCATTGGATGGTGCCTTCATATTTCCAGGACCAATGGCACATAACAAATTAGCCATTTTTAAGGGTGGCATTCTGACCACCACTGCAAGGGATTTATTCTTCACACTGACTTCCAATGTATAAGGCATTTTTCCCTTTGTCCACAGATGAATTGATTTCAGTAAAGGATTCCTGAAGCCTGAGATTCATTTTAGGGGTTGCCACCTGGTCTGATGTTCATATGGTGTTTTTCACATATCAGTATGGCCATGCTCCCCTGTCAGGAATAAGCCTTATGGAATAGGTCCTGCAAGCATCCTAAGATGATAAACTCACGTTCAGGAGCTTTTCTGTGTTTTTCTCAGCAGCCCTGAACTCTCCCTAATGTTTTTCCTATGTGTCCATATGCACTTTACAGTCGTTTTTTTTTTGAACACATCAAACTTGCGTTCAGGAGTAGATTTTATCAGTGTTTCAAACGCTTGTAAACGCGGCTAACTGCGTTTAGAAGCGTTTTTTGACTAGTCCATATCCAGGGCACAATTCACTAAGCGGTATCCTACCGCATCCGAGTATGCGGTAGGATACCGTATAGCATTTAAAAAAAACCCAAAACATTTGATTCTACTAAAAAAGGCTACAAGAATACCGCATGATTTTATCAAGTCATGCAGAATTTTAGTAGTGAAAAGCATGCATCATGTTTCAGCTGTCAGCGGCGTTCTCAATGACAGCTGAATGTAAAAGAAAAAATTGCCGGCAATTAAAAATAATTTTAAAAAATGGCGTGGGGTCCCCCCAACCATACCAAGCCCTTCGGGTCTGGTATGGATTTTGAGGGGAAGCCCCACGCCAAAAAAAAAAATGGCGTGGGGTTCCCCCCCAAAATCCATACCAGACCCGGCAGGTCAGGAAAGGGGGGGGCAAGCAAGCACCCCCTCCCCGAACTATACCAAACCACATGCCCTCAACATGGGGGGGGGGGGTGCTTTGGGATAGGGTGAGCTTCCCCCCCCCCCCCAAAGCACCTTGTCCCTATGTTGATGTGGACAATTGCCTCTTCCCCACGACCCTGGTCAGTGGTTGTGGGGGTCTACGGGTGGGGGCTTATTGGTATCTGGAGGTCCCCTTTAGGGCCCCCCCCCCACGTGAATGAGTATGGGGTACATGGCACCGCTACCCATTTACAAAAAAAAAAAAAGGTAGTGTGAAAAGACAGGAGTCATTATTTGCCAAGTCCTTTAATAAAAGAATGTCCCCCAAAGTAGATCCAACGTCAATCACGATGTCATCTCCTCTCCGAAAAAAAAAAAAACCCTCCACTACCGCAGCTGGCCCCCGGCCATCTGCTCAGAAGCTGGCTTGATAGTTCTTAAATATGTAAGGGGCGGGGTCACACAGGTGATGTCATCGGGTGGCTCTGCCGCTTACATATTTAAGAACTGTCAAACCAGCTTCTGAGTAGATGGCGGGGGGCCAGCATCAGTAGCGGTGGACATTGTGACATCGTGATTGACATTGGATTTACTTCAGGGGACATTCTTTTATTAGCCACAAGCCTACAGGGCACTTATACCCCCTTCCTACCCAGGCCAATTTCCAGCTTTCAGCGCTGTTGCACTTTGAATGACAATTGCGCGGTCATGCAACACTATACCCTTATAAAATTTTTACCATTTTTTTGAGACCGCTTTATTTTGGTGGTATTTAATCAACTCTGGGTTTTTTATTTTTTTCTTAAACCAAAAACCACTAAAAATTTTGAAAAAAAAAATGTTTTTTCTTAGTTTTTTGTTATAAAATTTTGTAAATAAGTGATTTTTCTCCTTCACTGATGTGTGCTAATGAGGCTGCAGTGATGGGCACCGATAGGCTGCACTGATGGACACTGATAGGTGGCACTGATATAGGCATTGACAGGCATCCCTGATGGGCACTGAAAGGCAGCACTGATATATGGCACTGATAGGTGGCACTGACTGGCACTGATAGGTGGCACTGACTGGCACTGATAGGTGGGACTGACTGGCAATGATGGGTGACACTGAAAGGCAGCTCAGATGGGCACTGATATGTGGCATTGATGTGCACTGGTAGACACAGATATGTGGCATTGATGTGGCACTGATGGGCACTGGCACGTGGCACTGGTGAGCACTGACAGCTATCACTGATGGACACTGACAGGTGGCACTGCTGGAGCTACACTGATCATCAGTGTTCTGATGATCAGTGTAGATTTCCCCTCCGCGGAATGCCGATTACTGGCTCTCCTCTACTCTCGAGCTGTCAGCGTGACCGCTCGTGAGGAGAGAAATGCCGATAACCGGCATTTCCCTGTTTACATGTGATCAGCTGTGATTGGACACAGCTGATCACATGACCGAGCCGACATCTTCGGCTCTTTCCGAGGACCGGTGATCCGCTGTGTCCGAGGTGTACAGCGCACCACCAATTGCCGCGCTGCATGCTCCCTGAGCTGCGCATGTGCGGTGAGAATGGGAGGACGTCATATGACGTACTCCCAGAACGAGAGAACCACCTTGCGTCTGTCATTGGACTATATGGCGGGCAGGAGGTGGTTAAAGGACTTGTCAAAGAATGACTCATGTCTTTTTTTTTTTTCCACACTAACTTTTTGTTTTCTTTTTTGTGAATGGGTAGCGGTACCATGCACCCCATACTCATTCATGTGGGGGGGGGCAGGATCTGGGGGCCCCCTTGCTAAAGGGGGCTTCCAGATTCTGATAAGCCCCCCCTCCCCCCGCCTGTAGACACCCACAACCACTGGCCAGGATTGTGGGGAAGAGACCCTTGTCCCCATCAATATGGGGACAAGGTACTTTGGGGGGTGGGGGCTTGCTTGCTCACCCCCTTCCCCCCCGGCAATTAAACAATAATGAAAAAAAAAAAAATGGCATGGGGTCCCCCCCTCCCATCATACCAAGCCCTTCGGGTCTGGTATGGATTTTGGGGAAAACCCCACACCATTTTTTTTTTTTTTTTTTTAATTTTGGCGTGGGGCTTTCCCTCAAAATCCATACCAGACCCGAAAGGCTTGGTATGGATGGGAGGAAGGGATCCCACGCCGTTTTTTTAATTAGTTTTTTATTGCCAGAAATTCTTTCTTTTACATTCAGCTGTCAGTGGGAGTCCTGCTGAGAGCTGAAACATTAATGAATGCTTTTCACTACTAAAATACCGCCTGACTTGATAAAATAACTCATGCGGTATTTTAGTAGCCTTTTTTTTTTTGTGAATTTACTATTTTTCAGTGCATTCTGGGCATTTGGGAGGGTCTCCTGAGGTTATCTTATAAAAACGCTTCTAAACGCAAACGTGCATAAACGCGTTATGGAAACGTGGCTAAACTGACGTTTTTTCAACCTACGTTTTCCAGCAGTCAGTTTCCATCGTTCAGAAGAGTTTTCCCAAACGCCCCGTGCACATGAACTCTAACTCTCTTCCTAGAAATCTTCCAGTACAGCACGGATTTCATCCCTATTTTTGTATCTAAGTAGTAGAGTTTTTTAAAATATAATTTGTACTTCCTGTTTGTTCATTTTGGTGCTTTTTCATCACTGAGGCAAAAGGGTGATTTATTTATTTATTCCCCATAATGGTGGATAATGTTTCCTGTTTTCAGGTGGGCAGAGCCATCTCTCAAATGCTGCCCTGGAAAATTCCTAGAAATTTAGTTACTAGGTAACTAATGGGTTTTTTTTGGGTTTTTTTTTATATATATAATTTACTTTTTATTAACTTTTTTAAAGCGCTTACAAGAAACAGAGTTGCATAGAATTGTGAAATAACAATCACAAGGCAATAAAAGAACAAAGAAACAGGCTCATCGATGAGAGGCATATAGGTAAATACAATGTCAGTGCATAACAATGAATTAACCGCCATTTTCAGACAATTGAGTAGGCAAATTGGAAACCATAAGATCTATCAGTTCCCAAACTGCTTCAAAGGTGGTGACAGAGTTAGCATGCAAAGCAGTGAGGTATTCCATTCTTCTAATTTCTGCTATGACCTTCACCAGTTCTGAATGTGTAGGAGGCATAGTAGAAAGCCAATGCATGGGAATGGTTTTCCTGGCCGCTGTTAAAACATGGGAGGATTTTTTCCTGGCAAATTTGGAGAGGCCTGGAAAAGGCAGGCCCAGCAAAAAGAGGATAGGCTCAAATGGAATGATTGCCTGTAATAGTAGCTGCAAAAGGTTAAGAACCTCTCTCCAGAAGAGTGCAATGTGTTGGCAAGTCCAAAAAATATGAAAAAGAGTGCCTGTTTCCTCGCCACATTGCCAGCAGACCGGAGAAACACCCAGATTGCGAGCATGGAGAATCTCAGGGGGCTTATACCAAAACATCAGTATTTTATAAGTGTTTTCTTTATATACTACACAAATAGAAGATCTGGAGGCAGCCTCCCATAACCTACTCCATTGATCCAATATCACGTTGGAGGATTCGGGGCCATTTGTGCATATAAAGGTGTGCATCAATGGAAAGGGGACAAGCGTCTCGAAGCAGCTTATAAGTAGAGGAAATTATTCCCCATTGGTAGGGACCCTGAATACAGATACATCCGAAGAGAGTAGGCTTCTCAAGGGTTAGAGATTGTGTTTTGGAGGAGAAAAAGTGATGTATCTGTAGATATACATAATACTGGTGAGATGACATACGAGTAGCTTTTTGAATCTCAGAAAAGGATTTCAGCTTATGGGTCACTGGGTGAACCAAGTGTCGCAATTTAAATAGATCGGCTTTGGCCCAGGGAGCCACACGAGCCAAAGCCAAACTATCAGGGAGACTGGGATTAAATATGACATTGGTCAGGGGAGAACACAGAGAAGACAGGGCAAATCTAACCTTACACCACCTCCATATAGATAACGTAAAGTGCATGGGCCCAAGCAGGAGATGTTTGTAAGAGGTGGTTTCAGTGTTGGTCATAGACCAGAATAAAGAACAAGGGTGCGTTGGACACAATTGTAGCCATTCAATCTCTGCCCATTTATTAGGGGGGGGGGGGCGCTGGGAGGACCATGCGACGAGTACGAAGGTGAGTAGCCAAATAATATGAGACAATATCTGGGGCCCCCAGACCTCCCCTAGATTGAGGAGAGAGGACAGTATGGGCCTTTCGGTGAGATTTATTATGCCAGATGAAGTGAAGGAAAGATTTCTGAAGGGAATGCAACTTGGACATGGGAATAGGAACAGGAAGCGTCTCAAACAGATACAGAAGTTTAGGCAGTATGGTAATTTTTAGTACATTAATCCTTCCCAGGAAGGAGATGGCAAGATTGTCCCAAGATTTTAAGGATTGACAAATAGCATGAAACGGGGGGAAAAATTAGACTCATAAAGGGAGTGCTAAGAGGCGGTAAGGTTGGTACCTAAATACCTCAAGGGATGTGAGTACCATCGATAGGGATAATTTGACAGGAGAGAAGATAAAATGGTAGATGGTATGTGGAGCGGTAATGCTTCGGTTTTAGACGTGTTGACCTTATAACCCGACTGGGCACTGAAAAGCTGTAGAGTACAATGTAAGACCAGCAGAGTAATGTGGGGCTCCATCAGTGTCAGCAAGATATCATCAATAAACAAAGATTGTTTAAAGTCACTATTGTGGGTGTGTATCCCATGGATATCTGTATTGGATCTGATGGCTAGCCGGGACAAAGCCCACCTGGTCTCTGTGAATAAGTTTGGATATACATTTGGCCAGTCTATTAGCTAGAATTTTCGTAAAAATCTTGTAGTCAGAATTTAGTAAAGCTATAGGACAATCGTTATCTGGAAGGAAATGGTCCTTATCCAGCTTGGGGATCACAGAAATGTATGAGCGAGTAAAATCATCATGTGGGTGCGACCCCCTCAGGAGATCCCGAAACAAAGCCAGAAGATGGGGGGCTAAAATGCCGATAAAGGATTTGTAATATGAATAAGGAAGACCGTCTGGCCTTGGGGACTTGAGTAGGAAGATGTTTTGACAACATCCAATAATTCTTTAATGAATATGTTCCCGTTCAGAGCTGTGGTATCAGAAGGTGACAAACATGGCAATTGTAATGAGTCAAAAAATGCGTCAAAAACAGCCAACTGAAGGGGAGGGTGAGTATCGGGCTAGGTAGCTATAAAGCTTCTCATAGTATTCCCCAAATATTGTAGCCATAACATGCGGGTCATATGTAGGTTTGCCATCAGACTGAAGTAGGTGCCCCGGTAGTGAGGGGGACGTTTGATATTTACAGTGAGGAACAGAAGTATTTGAACACCCTGCGATTTTGCAAGTTCTTAGAAATCATGGAGGGGTCTGAAATTCACATTGTAGGTGCATTCCCACTCTGAGAGACAGAGTTTAAAAAAAAAAAAAATTCAGTAAATCACATTGTATGATTTTTAAAATATTTATTTGTCTTGCACTGCTGAACATAAGTATTTGAACACCTGAGAAAATCATTGTTAATATTTTGTACAGAAGCTTTTGTTTGCAATTACAGAGGTCAAACATTTCCTGACGTTCTTGACCAGGTTTGCACACACTGCAACAGGGATTTTGGCCCACTCCTCCACACAGATCTCCTCTAGATCTGTCAGGTTTCGGGGCTTTCGCTGAGCAACACAGAGTTTCAGCTCCCTCCAAAGATGTTCTATTGGATTTAGGTCTGGAGACTGGCCAGGCCACTCCAGAACCTTGATATGCTTCTTACGGAGCCACTCCTTGGTTATCCTGGCTGTGTGCTTCGGGTCGTTGTCATGTTGGAAGACCCAGCCACGACCCATCTTCAATGCTCTGACTGAGGGAAGGAGGTTGTTGCTCAAAATCTCACAATAAATGGCCCCATTCATCCTCTCTTTAATACAGTGCAGTCGTCCTGTCCCTTTCGCAGAAAAGCACCCCCAAAGCATGATGTTATCACCCCCATGCTTCACAATAGGGATGGTGTTCTTGGGATGCAACTCATCCTTCTTTTTCCTCCAAACACGACGAGTGAAGTTTAGACCAAAAAGTTCTACTTTGGTCTCATCTGACCACATGACTTTCTCCCATGCCTCCTCTGGATCATCCGGATGGTCATTGGCAAACTTCAGACAGGCCTGGATATGTGATGACTTGAGCAAGGGAATCTTCCGTGCAATGCATGATTTAAAACCATGACGGCGCAGTGTTCTACTGACAGTGACCTTTTAAACTGTGGTCCCAGCTCTCTTCATGTCATTGACCAGCTCCTCCCTTGTAGTTCTTTCTTATCAGTGATACCCCACGAGGTGAGATCTTGCATGGAGCCCCAGTCTGAGGGACACTGACAGTCGTCTTTAGCCGCTTCCATTTTCTAACAATTGCTCCAACAGTTGATCTATTTTCACCAAGCTGCTTTGCAATTGCCCCGTAGCCCTATCCAGCCTTGTGGAGGTCCACAATTTTGTCTGTGGTGTCTTTTGACAGCTCTTTGGTCTTGCCCATGGTAGTAGTTGGTGTCTGACTGACTGTGTGCTACTAAGTTAGATTAATGAGTGGAGTAGAGGTGGACTTTATAAAGGCACAGTAACAGGTCTTTGAGAGCCAGAATTCTTGCTGTTTCTTAGGTGTTCAAATACTTATGTTCAGCAGAGCAAGACAAATAAATTCTTTCAGGAAATCACATTGCATGATTTTTAATTTTTGTTTTAAATTCCGTCTCTCAGAGTGGGAATGCACCTACAATGTTAATTTCAGACCCCTCTATGATTTCTAAGTGGGAGAACTTGCAAAATCGCAGGGTGTTCAAATACTTCTGTTCCTCGCTGTAAGTCTATTTACAAGCATGCGATACGGTTTATCAGAAAAATCATAACATTTTTGCCTAGCCCAGGAGAAAGATTTAGCAGTTTTATGTAGGTAAAGAGCCCTGATTTGATCCCATATATGGGAAACTTTCTGAAACCGAGGTATAGACGGGTAGGCTAATAATCTACATTTGGCTAAGGATAATTGGCGTAAGAGGGATTGTGTGGCACAAAGGCCTTCTTTGAACGAGAACCCACGGAGATACAGAGGCTGCTGAAAACGGCCTTATGGACCTTCCAGAGAGTTGAGGATGAAAATACCGAGCCAAAGTCAAAATAAGCATCCAGGCCCCCAGAGAGCTCCTCTCGAAGTTGTTCCTTAGGGGAGGAGGTAGAAAGAAGGAGATCAAGTGACAATGAGGCATTATCTGACCAAGTCGTCAGGTTGATCCCCGAGGAAACCAACAAGGGGATCGGGGGCAGTAACAAAAAAATTATCCAATCGAGAGAACATGCAATGTGGAGTAGAATAAAACGTGAATTGCCTATGGAGAGGATGTTTGACTCGCCAGGCGTCAAAGAGGCGATGCTCCCTGGTCAGTTTATGGAAAGCCGTCGAGGAGGAGCATAATCTCTTCGACAGAGTAGGTGCAAAACGCACCTTCCTATCTTTGTGAGGGGACATAACCATGTTAAAATCTGCCTAAACAATCCATGCATGGAGTAGGTAAAGAACACAGTTTATCTATGGTTTGATAGAGAAGTAACCGCTGACCAGAGTTGGGTGTATTCAAATTCAAAAGCGCAAATAGAAAGCCCCTGTACATACATTCCAACAAGACATTACCGACCAAGTGGGTCAACCCAAGAGGAGGAGACCCTCAGGGAGCAGTTTTTCCAAATCAAAATGGCTACTCCGGTTTTCCCAGAGGGAACAAAGCCGAGTAGGATTGCTAGAAGCACTTGGAGGCAAAGCGATAAGAGCCATCATGCTTGAAATGGGTTTCCTGAAAGAATATAATATCTGCTCCCGAGGATCTTAACTCCCTCAGAGCCATCCACCATTTTAGGACTGAGTTAAGTCCTTTGACATTATATGACAACAGCCTTAAAGCCATCATAAAACATTAATAATTGTAGCAGCTGTGTAACCTGAGCATACAGGAAAATTATCATCGATGAGGCAAAATAGAAAACAGAAATAGAGAACCAGGTGATTAGAATGGCAACAGGCCTAGTACAAACAAATATATCACTCAGAACAGAGGCCATAGGTATTACAGCCAGAAACAAAGATATCATCAGAGATATATACCCGGGATATTGGTAATATCCTGAATTGTCAGGGCTGAAAGCTTGATGTACAAAGGAGCAACACGGCAGCTGACCCGAAATGGCAGGTGCCAACCTCAGTAATCCACAGAACAGCTATAATCAGGACACAACAATTAGGAAAATTGCTAAGGCACACATGGGGGCATAGGAGCTCAATTAACAGGGCGGGAGACTTGATATGTAAAAGAGTCAGGTTGTGGAGCCCACCAAACCAGGAAGTAGGGGACGTTGAGGAGTGCGAGTAATCTCTTCTTGCCCAGGTTTAGCGGTTGTCCAGATCTTGCGTGGAGTAGCAGAGGACCTGGACGGAGTAGGAGGTTGCAGAAAGGTCTCTTCCGGCAGGGGAGGGAGTCCCAACTGTTTAAAGAAGGAGTCCGCTTCATGCAGGTCACGAAGTAAGACTTGGGCATTATCTTTGGAGACAACTAGCTTAAAAGGAAATCCCCACCGGTAAGCGATGCGATGCTGCTGAAGATGAGTGGTGACCAGCTTCAAGACACGCCTTTTTGCCAAGGTGATGATAAATCACTGAAAATTTGAAGTCTGTCTCCTTTAAATTCCAGAGAGGACTTGTTGCAGGTAGAAGAGAGCAAGGCCTCCTTGCTGTGAAAGTAGTGAAAATGAATGATAACATCTCTGAGCCTAGTACCCTCAGGAGGCTTCGGGCCTAATGACCTATGGGCCTGGTCCATGCATCAATCAACTTCTGGGACTTTGGGGGCCAGAGTGGTAAACCGAGATGGCAGGTTATGCCAAAGTTGGGAGTCAGGGACCGTCTCAGAGATGCCATGAACACAGATATTCTGACGGCGCTCCCTGTTTTCCAGTTCCTCCTGCTGGAGCTGAGACTTAGAATGTTTCAGATTTGCATTATCCTCTTCCAGGACATGGACATATTGCACCAAATCGTCAAACTTTGACTCAAGGTGGTCTGTGCGGTCTCCCAATTGGGTAATCTCCCCCCTAAGCTCCTGAGCCAGCTTCCCTATGTCAACAGAGATAGTGCAGATAATATTGCATAAAAATACTTGCAGTTTGTCCTCCAGGATATCCACCAGATTAGGAAGCAAGGCAGCAGGGACATCTGTGTCTGTCCCCTCCATTTCAGCGGACCCTCCGGAGCACTCACTTGGACCACCGCCACTACTCGAGGCTAGGGATGCAGGCCTGGTAAAGAATCAATCCAGCATGGAAGCCCGGGGGTCCAGAGGAGGCGGCGTGGGCAGCTTTCAACGCCCAATTTTACCCATGTAGGTGCCTGTGGGTATCCTGACTTGTGGGAGAACTCTCCCAGGTCTGTGACTGTTGCAGGAGGGTAGCAGGAGGGCTGTGAAGGCTGAGGGTTGGTGGAGCTCATACTGCTCCAGGTGGACTTCTGGTGGACGGAGATGCAGTTGCCAAACAGGACCTATCTGCTTCCGTGTCATACATTGAGCATAACTTCCCCCCACCAGTCTCTGCTTTTCCTCTTTCAAGGTGTTTCACATCATTGGGGGCTCTCTGCTGCTAATGCGGGTGGCCTGCTGCTGATTGATGTACTGGCCATCCGATGTACTGGCCATCCTCAAAGCTTGCTAGGTTTACACATGTGCTAAAATGTATTTATTATTTTTTATTATTATCCACACGCATGTCTTCCACATCTTGAAACCTTTACTGAGGTTCTGTCTGCTATCAGCTGTAGATTTTTTACTTGAAGTTCAATAAATATTCTGAGGCTTGTCAGACTTATGTGGAGATCATAATCTTTTAGTGCATAATACAGTGATCTACTTCACTTGTCAATTATATCTGTGTTTTCCCATGACCAAGTGCAGAGAATGCATAAACACCCACAGAATCTTCCTCACACAGCTCTGTTTTGGAGGAAGTAATGTCAGACAGCTCTTAAATTGGCAGGTTCTGCACGAAGAGTGTTACTTTGGAGGGGGGGGTGGCCTAGTCCAAAATTTACACTATACTGTACATATAGAACATGTCATTGTCTAGTCAACATGTATCCAAATTGGCACTGTTCTTTAAGGAGAACAGTAAAGATTGCTTTTATTGAGCATTGTTTCCTTAAAGATTTCTGCAATTATTTGAATCGTTTTGTGGTATACAAGTTTCAAGGTGTTGTACAGTTAATGCGTTTTCCATCAATCCATAGAACAACAAGAAAACTATTTTTTCCTTTGTGACGTTTTACCAGAAGACCGTGTCCTACGGGAAGAGCTCCAGCAGGAGAGATTGGTGAGCTATGAACCTCCTAACTGTAAAATTAATTTCATTATTGAAAAAAATGTAAAATGTATCTAAACCTAAAAGCATAAAGTTTATATTTTGTAAGTTACCACTGCTTAGTATATGCATGTAATGGTCTCGTTTAGTTTTCTTTTTTTCAGGCTTTGTTCTCCCCATTTCCACTGAGTGATCCCGCAAACAACGTCCTTCCTGCCCTTTCATGACTATGCTTTATTCCCTTGCCTTTATTTATGAAGGGAGCCATGGTTGTCACACAGGCTGGACTTCAAATTTGTCTGCCTTGATCTATCTCCATTACATTGTGGATTGATGAGACTATTAACTTACATCAGGGTGGACTGACCATTCAGTAGGGGGCCCCATGAGATGCTCCTAATACCTTTCATTCATAGGCTTTTTTGGGTGTGGTTTGAGTGTGGGCAAGGACACAGGCCCCATGATCCCCTATTGCCCGGGGGCCCCATGAGTTGTCAGTCCGCCCCTGGTCTACATAATAAGCATAAGCTTCCTTGTTCTTTGTCAGAGGAAGTGACAAGGAGACTTCATTTCTGGCAGATCAACCGATATTTTCTGTACTTGGTGAAAATGTTCTTAAACTGAAAAAAAGAAAACAAATGTCGCTACATCTAAAACTGCTAAGCTGCAAAACATTTATTTTTGTAAATTTTTTTAGTTTAGCTTTGCTTTTAAAGTTAGAGTAGGATATTTTATTGTCCTTCCCACCATCTAGTTGGTACCTAAAGTGTGGGCAGCTGTTAAAACTGTGAAGATTACTATCACAAATTCTAGCTTCTTCTGTTCTGGAAAGTAACACAAAAAAAAAAAAAAAAAAGCAAAAATTGTGAGCAGAGTTATTAAGAGAATTCTTACAGGTTGTATTGGTTACTATACATTCCACTTTGCCCTGATTACATTGAAATTCTGCTTTTTTCCTACTTTTGCTTCTCTGCATATATATTTTTTTCCTAAAATGTTTGGTAGCTACGAAGAATACAGACTTAATTAAAAAAAACTAAATCTTGATTATCTTCTAGTTTATTATTTTAATGTTATGTAAAAAGAGAACACACAAGCAAGGGGTCTTTTCTCTTAGATGTAATGTGATGGTATTTTTTATTTATAATTATTTTAATGTTATGTAAACAAAAAAAAGACATTCAAGCAAGCTATATTGTAATGGTTTTATATTTGAGGCATGCGTTCTACTGTATATTTTCTACACAGATTGGGCTTCATGCACATGGCCGTGCAGTGTGCAGAGCATGCATAATTACTCTCCTGGGACCTGCAGCTGCTGTGTACAGCCACCCATTGAGATGAATTCAATCTACGGCTGTACTCGGTTATGAGCCAAGGGGGTTGAGTAAAGCATGCGCACTGTCCTATGATCCAGTGTGCTTTCTGAGCATACATCCATGCTTGTGTGGGTGCTTTACGCAACCCCCGGTGCAGATTCTAAATCCTCTGAATTGGAAGCAGTACACAGCAGCTGCATGTCCCAGGAGAGTGATTATGTGGGCTCTGCACACTGTATGGCCATGTGCATGAAACCTAAGCTGTTTAACAAATGTACAGTAGAATTCATGCTTCAGATATGAAACCATTACAACATTAATTCTGAAAATTAAAATCAGTTGGTTTGAAATTTCAAGTTAATTTGAAAATTACAAAGAAAACCACCATCACCATCATAGTACATGTAAGAGAGAAGACCGCTTGCTTGTGTGTTCTTCTTTCTTTTTTCTTTCTAATTCAGTGCTTGGGATTTCCTATCCATGACCTAAGGAAGTGCATAGTAAACTGTTCAGTAGACTTCCTGCTGCTAAACTTAACAGTGCGTAGGACAATATAGTGTCAGCAGCTAGAAAAGCACACAGCACACATTTTATTTATATTTCATGCTTCTTCCACAGAGCCTTTCCTCAAATATATTCATGTTCCTCATTAAACTGCAGCCAGCTGCTTACCATGTCAGGCAAGTAGAATCTGTCTAGACGAGTTTGGTTGCCTGTAGCGACAGACAGCTCATTTTTTTTGAGCAGTCAGCAGGAACGTCTATCTGTAGGAAAAATAACAAATACATTTAAAAATTTCATTTTTTTATTTACAGTGCCTTTTCAACAGTATATTTTCGATCTTAAAAGACCAGTATACTCCAAAACAAAAAAAAATAAAATAAATTAATGTATTTCAAGTTGGACCATAAGCTAATTTATGCAGATGTTTCACCTGTTTACAGAAATGTAGATATTTTTTGTAGCTTTGCTTTTGATCATAGGGGCAGAAAGAAGGACATTTAATGTTTATAAGGAGCAGGGTCTGTTCATAAACCCTGGAAAGCTCCTACGGCTTTTTTGGGTATTGGTGACTGTGGGAAGAATGTGGACACAAGCAGTCTCTTTTCAGCCAGTCACAAGAAAGCAATTGGATGGTGGGGATACATACCCGAAGAACATTGGTGAATCTGAGATATCTGTTCCTAATTGTTTTTTTGCTAAGGCTATCAGGGACCAAATAAGTACTACCTTTCACTGATAGTGGTCCATCCAGGCAAAAGTGGTTAGCAAAACAGGCATGGTAGTTTTTATGAGTTCTGGACAGAAAAGAAACTGCATGCTGCAAAGCATTGCTGCTTACTACCCCAGTTTACCATCTTTGGTTTTAAATTGTCATTTCTTATAAGCTAAAGCTTTTTTTTTCATTTCTGAATATTTTTTAATACATGGATACATGACTCTACAAACACAGTGTAGCCACTTAATTGTGCTTTGTTTCTTTGCTGATAATTAACTGTTTAAGAATTTCACTGAGTGGGGGTGCGTATCCCACTGCACCTCAAGGCCACCCAACTAAAATATAATATAAATATAATTTTGTTATAGAATTAAAATTATTTCAATAAATTAAATATAATACATGTATATACGTATAGGGTGAGGAAAGAAACCATTGTGACAATTTTACATACCTAGAGAGAAATCCATATCGATGTTGACATGTCATATCTTGACAGTGCGGTATCTTTCTATCATAAGGTCCAACAATACATTATCTCACTAAGAATATTACAGGTTAATCTGTCAATAATATGTAATGTGGATACACCCATCCATGTTGATATAACACACCACTAATGGACAGGCCCCACATTCTACATACCCAAAAAAAATACCTCTCTAGGGATGATCACATATATATCCCAATATAATTGGGTATTCCTCTACCCCAAGAAAACAAAAGGAGGAGGGGGAGTCAAGATAAGGAAAAAGAAATTGCATGTGATCCAAAAGGAAAAGAAAGTGCTCTCAAATCCAAACTAACCTAACATGTTTCACTCCTTGGATGGAGCTTCATCAGAGATGAATAAAGTAAAAAAAACTAGTCAGCCAATGAGGAGAGAGAAGGGGTGGGGCCAAGCCACAGCTCCATGTGCGAATAGACACACAGGGTTGTGGGTGCCCCCATAGCAAGCTGCTTGCTGTGGGGGCACCCGACAGACAGGAGGAGCCAGGAGGGCCTGTGGGGGACCCAAGAAAAGGAGGATCCGGGCTACTCTGTGCAAAACCACTGCATACAATAGGCAAGTATAGACACGTTTGTTATTTTACAAAAAAAAAAAATAACCTTTTACAATCCCTTCACTTTGTTGAGATCATTTTAATTATTTAATAAAAGTTATATTTTGGTGGCCTTGAGGTGCGGTGGGATACACACCTCCATTCAGTAAAATTTATAATTGTTACATAGGATTAATTATTGGAAGATTTAAGGCATAGTTTGATGATTTGTAAACTGTTTAAGAATTCTAATGATGGTGTTCCTAGGGCTATCTTTTGCAATTGTTTGTATCCAATATGTTGTTTAATTATGGCTTGTGTGTCCAGGAATACCCATAGATTATATGACAATCTGTGGATGTGATGGGGGTTTTTTTTTTCAGGGGTGTCTCTTGAGCCAAATAGTGGGTATGAAATACTGTCTGATTCTATTGTCCCCAAGTCTATATTCTAGCATCCGCTCCTGCTCCCTTCCCCTGTCCTTATGGTTACTCCACAAGCCCAGCTTAGTTGATTACACATTTGTGTCATACTTTGCCTTTCCTCAAGCCTGAGGACAAAGGGATCACGCAGCTGTGATCTTTTGGTGCTGCATGGGGTTAATATGAGCTGCTGTACCTGTCAAGGACACTTGTCAAAAGTGGCAACTATGCTGTACCTCCCTGCCCCTCATTCAAAAAAGCTGTACTATTGCTTCTCACAATGAAAAGTGCTCTTTGAATGGAGAAGGTGAACATTTTATCTATCTGTCCATCCTCCATTCAGAAAATGCTTCTCATTGCAAGAAGCGATATTATCATCTAGAAGAGCAGCCAAATGGACACTTCTCATTCAGTGTAAGTAGCGCCCTTGTGGTGATTTAAAAACAAACAAACTATACTTTAATATATAGTAAATTTGTTTGTTTGTTTTTTTCCTTCAAAGTGAATATCCATCAAATGGTACCAAAATTGTGTGATGAAAGAAAAGTAAAGTCCGAATTTTATTTTTTGAATCTTTTCCTGTAAGCTATCAATGATGGGTCAGTTATAAAAAAAAAGCTGAATGGGTGAAAGATGATCAGTCAGACTTTTTTTTTCTTATAGTAACTTATTATTTATTTATTTCAGGTACTTATATAGTGCCGTCAATTTATGCAGCACTTTACATATATATTGTACATTCACATCTTTTAGTACATAACACAACTGTTCCTTGTAATAAATAATGCACAGCATTAGTTTTGTATGAGCAACTGTATGTCTGCCTTCTGATTGTCTGGCTAACAGTTTGCTAGGAAAAATACATATCACCTAACCCTAAGGATAAAGGTTTTGTCCATGCAAAACATTCTGCATTACTACTTTTACATGCCTTAACTACAGGTTATACAGCAGGAGTTGAGAACTCCATCTACTGTCTACCTGTATTATTGTTACATTGCCTCTATTT